TACTATACTGTGGGGTTAGGAGGAACTAGCTATACTGTATGTGACTGTACAGTGTGGTGAGGAAGAAACTAACTATACTATAATTTACTGTACAGTGCAGTTAGGAGGAACTGACAATACCTTATGTAACTGTTCACTGTGGTTAGGAAGAACTAGCTATACTATATGTGACTGTACAGTGTGGTGAGGAAGAAACTAACTATACTATAATTTACTGTACAGTGCGGTTAGGAGGAACTGACAATACCTTATGTGACTGTTCACTGTGGGGTTAGGAGGAACTAGCTATACTGTATGTGACTGTACAGTGTGGTGAGGAAGAAACTAACTATACTATAATTTACTATACTGTGGGGTTAGGAGGAACTAGCTATACTGTATGTGACTGTACAGTGTGGTTAGGAAGAAGTAACTATAGTGCATGTGACAGTACTGTATAGTTTGGAGGATCTAACTATACTGAATTTGACTGTACACCGTGGATAAGATGAATTAACTATAGTGTATGTGACTGTAGAGTGAGGTTAATAGGAACTAACTATACTGTATATGACTGTAGAATGTGGTTAGGAGGAACTAGCTATAATATAATTTACTGCAGAGTGTGGTTAGAAAGAACTAAGTATAGTGTTTGTGACTGTACACAGTGGTTAGGAGGAACTAACTGTATTGTATGTGGCTGTACAGCGTGGATAGGATGATCTAACTTTACTGTATCTTATTGTACAGTGGGTTTAGGAGAAATTAACTATATTATAATTTACTATACAGTGTTATTATAAGGATCTAACTATAATGTATGGGACTTTGCAGTGTAATTAGGATGATCTAACTATAACATAATTTACTGTATACTGTGGTTATGAGAGAAGTGTCATTTACTTAGGAGTATAGAATATTTTCTTTCATCACCTAAAATCTTTGGTCAGAATCCTTTTTAAAACGATTTTTTTAAGTACACGATTTCCTGTTTGTTTTAACTTTATTTGTTAATGTAGATTATATTAATATTATATTCTTTTTATGTGTAAGTATTTTAATATTTGAAAGTACATCATTTACATTTCTGTACAAACAGAAAAATGATTGACGAAAATTTATGAAATAAACTATTATCCATTATGCCTAAAACATTTATTAAATATAATTTCCTTCATAATCCTAGGTTTAGCTACTCCTTACAGTCGCCATTGATTAATGACTTTACATTTCCCTTCTCAAGTCTTTCACGTGACAAAAAAAACTTTAACTAGACATTCTGGGCTTTCTAGACACAAATTTCTACGATCTAAACTAATAGAAGAGAATTGGAGAAAGTAAGGTTTATAGGATTAGTGATCTAAATATAGGTTGGGCCGAATTTTAACCACTTAAACTTTAGAATCTCGATATAGAGATATATAAATTGGTACTTACATAAAACGAATGAAGAAGTCACAATGCCAGTCACGCCCAAGGCTACAAAGAATCTCAAAATAACGAAAATTATAAAACTTGGCGATAATACACATAAGATTCCAGACAAAGATCCTACTGATAGGCTTAACAGAATGATTGGTCGACGGCCAAATCTTAAAAAAAATATTGATAACCGTATAATTATTCAACCATGAATAGGAAAATATAAAATGTGTTTTTTGTCCATATATTCAGATACTGATAACAATACAATTTATCAACCATGAATAGGAAAACATAAAACGTGTTTCTTGTCCATATACTCACATATTGATAGAGACACAACTTGTCAACCATGAATATAAAACGTTAAATGTATTTTTCATACATATATTCAAATATTGATAACAATACAATTTGTGAACCATGAATCGGAAAACATGAACAGGTTCTTGTCTACATGTTCAGATGTTAAAAAAATGGTAACGAAATAAATTACGAAACGTCATTTGTTAAAGTGAATTGTGAAACATTGGGATGCACACCATCTTTACTGTGTTAGATTTATAATTTTCATATTATTTTAGAAATGAATAGATCAAAATAGAAGCGTAATAAACGTTGCTATTTAGAAAGTCAGTAGTCAAGAATTAGTAAAAGTGAAGCTGTCTGAACTAAGCCTAATTTAAGTTCATTAATGCTAAAAATACAAGATTTAAAAATGATACTTGATTTATTTAAAAACCATCTGAGAATGTATTTTTTAATTATCCGGAAAATGATTAATTGTTAAATGTTTGTTTGTTTGTTTTTGAATTTCGCGCAAAGCTACACGAGGGCTATTTGCGCTAGCCGTCCCTAATTTAGCAGTGTAAGACTAGAGGGAAGGCATCTAGTCATCACCACCCACCACCAACTCTTGGGCTACTCTTTTACCAACGAATAGTGGGATTGACCGTCACATTATAACGCCCCCACGGCTGAAAGGACGGGGATTCGAACCCGCGACCCTCAGATTGCGAGTCGAGCGCCTTATCAACCTGGCCATGCCGAGCACGAATTGTTAAATGAAGTAAGTATAGTTTTGGAAGAACGAAGCGATTACAAAAAGAACTTGAAAAATTAAAACGTTGAAACGTTATGTTAACAGTAGATTTTTCAAACTTTACACACAAGATTATGAAAGTTTATCAACAACGGAATAGTCAAAATCTAGTAATAATGATAGTTCACGAAATGATTGAGGAAAATTTAGTTAAGAAGGTAGCTACTGCGTAAGACATTACAGTTAGACCTAATAACGTAGAAACCTCACATAGAATAAGTCAAAACGACGTAAATATAGGAAATTTCCAAGACTTATAATAAATAGTAAGATTTAGTAATCATGAATAAGATATATTGTTTCTCCAGATATTCAGATGTGAATACAATAAGTGAACGGTATGTACAGCAGTCTCACTACGTCTTGAATAAAGTCCACAATTTTGAATAAATATTACTCTCTCTACCATAAACTAAAGTCAAGTAGTCAATCTGTAAATATAACAATTTGCCCCGTCTGGCATAAACAATGATCAAGTCAACAATCTTTAAATACAGTAATCTAACTTTCTCTCTTTGAAATAAATTAGAGTCAAGTACCCAATCTGTATACACGGCAATCTTACCTCATCTAGCATAAACAATGGTAAAGTCAACAATCTTTAGATGCATACAGCAATCTTATTCTCTCTTGCGTTCTCTATAGTCAAGTAGCCAGCCAGTCTGTAGATACAACAATAGTACTCCGCCTGGTACAAACCAGAATCAAGTAGCCAATCTGTAAATAGCAATCTTACCCCGTCTGGTACAAACTAGAATCAAGTAGCCAATCTGTAAATAGCAATCTTACCCCGTCTGGTACAAACTAGAATCAAGTAGCCAATCTGTAAATACAGCAATCGTGGCCTGTCTTGTATAAACTAGTCAGGTAAACAGACTGTGAATGCAGCAATCAAGCCAATCTGTCATAACATATGTGAAGTAATCAAACTGTATATAAGACAATTTTACTCCGACCAGTATAAAATAGGTGAAGCAAAACAACCTGTAAATATAACAGTCTTAATATCTCTTGCATAAAACATTGACCTAATAAGATGAGTACATATTCTGAAAACTGAGTGCATTCAAACAAAAATAATCTTCAAGTAAAAAAGAGACAGTAACTTCTTTTAGCAAACAAAAAACAAACCAAGTAAATAAGTAAACAATAGCAGACATATATTTTTATCCCCCTTTAGGAAACAAAAACAAACTATCATATAAATAAACAAGTAAACAATAGCAGACATACATTTTTATCCCCCTTTAGGAAACAAAAACAAACTATCATATAAATAAACAAGTGAACAATAGCAGACATCGTTAGAAAACAAAAAGCAAACCAATGTCCAAATAAATAAGTAAACAATAGCATACATACATTTCCCCCTTTAGGAAAAAACAAACTAATGTACAAATAATTCAGTAAACAATAGCAGACATCGTTAGAAAACAAAAAACAAACCAATGTCCAAATAAATAAGTAAACAATAGCATACATACATTTCCCCTTTAGGAAAAAAACAAACTAATGTACAAATAATTCAGTAAACAATAGCAGATATCTTTAGAAAACAAAAAAAAATCAATGTCCAAATAAATAAGTAAACAATAGCAGACATCTTTAGAAAACAAAAAACAAACCAATGTCCAAATAAACAGGTAAACAATAGTATACAAACTTCGCATCTCCCTTTAGGAAACAACAACAGACTAATGTTCAAATAGATAAGTAAAGAATAGCAGACATCTTCAAAAAACAAACCAATATTCAAATAAATAAGTAAAGAATAGCATACATACATTTCCCCCCTTTAGGAAATGAAAACAAACTAATGTACAAATAATTCAGTAAACAAAAGCAGACATATGCCCTCTAGTGGCACAGCGGTATGTCTGCGGACTTACAACACTAGAATCCGGGTTTCGATACCCGTGGTTGGCAGAGCACAGATAGCCCATTGTATGGCTTTGTGCTTAATTACAAAAAACAAGCAGACATCTTTAGAAAACAAAAAACAAACCAATGTCCAAATAAACAAGTAAACAATAAAAAACATCTATAGAAAACAATCTGTAAAATGCCCTTACCTACCCGAGTTGTTTCATCTTAAGAGAATGTTCTAGATCTGTGAAATGTCCTTACCTATCCGAGTGGTATCAGTTTAAGAGAATGTTCTAGATCTGTGAAATGTCCTACCTATCCGAGTGGTATCAGTTTAAGAGAATGTTCTAGATCTGTGAAATGTTCTTACCTCTCCTAGTTGTATCAACATGAGAGAATGTTCTAGATCTGTGAAATGTTCTTACCTCTCCTAGTTGTATCAACATGAGAGAATGTTCTAGATTTGTGAAATGTGCTTACCTCTCCTAGTTGTATCAACATGAGAGAATGTTCTAGACCTGTGAAATGTTCTTACCTCTCCTAGTTGTGATACAACTAGGAGAGGTAAGCACATTTCACAGATCTAGAACATTCTCTCATGTTGATACAACTAGGAGAGGTAAGAACATTTCAAAGATCTAGAACATTCTCTCACATTGATACCACTCGGATAGGTAAGAACATTTCACAGATCTAGAGCATTCTCTCATGTTGATACAACTAGGAGAGGTAAGAACATTTCACAAATCTAGAACATTCTCTCATGTTGATACAACTGGGAGAGGTAAAAACATTTCACAGATCTAGAACATTCTCTATACTGATGACATGAAAGAATGTTCTAGACCTGTGAAATGTTCTTACCTCTCCTAGTTGTATCAACATGAGAGAATGTTCTAGATTTGTGAAATGTTCTTACCTCTCCCAGTTGTATCAGTATAGAGAATGTTCTAGATCTGTGAAATGTGCTTACCTCTTCTAGTTGTATCAACATGAGAGAATGTTCTAGATTTGTGAAATGTCCTTACCTGTCCGACAGTTGCCCGGTTACGAATGATGAGACTAGGTAGCCTGACATGTAGAGTGACTGACTCAGAGATATCAGCCACGAGTTGTCGCAAACTAAGTCCCACTGAAAATAACAGAGATGTTATTGAACATACAGATTTTACAAGATATAGATAAACGGAAAGGCAAACAGAAATTGTAAAATTTATTTTTGATTTCAGGAAACAAAATTACCAAATTGTTTCCTTTCACTGAGCTAAAACTAACTTAGCTTCCTGTAGATTGGGTTTTGTGTTCTGTATACAGTTTCTTCTCAGATTCGGAGAAAGACAAACAAATATTTAAATATGTAGTTTAACTGTTTAAATGATTTAATGCTTTTAGAAATCCATGCACACTGTACTAAATTTTAATTTTCTAATTAAAAAAAACTTGTTCTATTATTGATAGTGAAGAAATCCATGTAAAGTATACTGGATTTTAATTTACTGTTGAACAAACCTGTTCTACTACTGAAGATGTATACTGAGAGTGGTCATATTCCCACACCAAACAAGAGTGAAGACTTCGGTTTTGAGCTTTATCAGTATTGTTCAAATTAGTATCATTCATGACGTCAAACATCCAACATTTGCTATACGACTGTTGTCCTGTTTCATCTGCCACCAGTGGAACACTGAAATTCTTCCATTCTTCTGCTGAAATATTGTGGAAAACTCCTGGTCGTCCACCACACCAGTGGTCAATATTAGGAGCCAAAAATGTCAGTACCAGAATATGCCAAGCGTTAGGAAGAGTGGCGACCAAAACCAAAAGAAAAACTTTTCTCTGCCATGGTCCTGCACCGCCAATAATGCCAGTAATATCTTCTCTTGGTGATATCATTCTTACACTGTGGTTTAAAAGTGATAATTCTGTAGACGAAAAGAATAAATTAACACCGTTGATCAAGAAGTAGAAAGATTGTTACTCAAGAAACCTATAATAACATCCTAAAAATAAAACTGTCAAATAATTACATTTCATAACAAATTCTCTAATTTTATTACAATACTGAAACTATGAGACATTATTCTCATAATATTAAAGCAAAACAATACAACACCTAGGCTTAGAAAAGTTTCTAAATCACATTTAAAAGAAAACGATACAAACCCTAGCAGTTTTGACGGGGAAATTGTCTTCAGCACATCTGCCTTCGATGGCTATTTGTTTTGTTAAATTTTGCCCAAACGTCACGTTAGACTGTTCACGTTGTAGTGGTCCTTACCATAAAACATCACATTAGAATGTTCACGTTATGATGGTTCTTATAATCAAACATCACATTAAACTGTTGACATTGTGGTGGTCCTTACCATAAAACATCACCTTAGACTGTTGACATCAAAAATCACGTTAAATTGTTAACGTTATGGTGGTTCTTATCATCAAACATCAGTTTAGATTTTTGACGTTGTTGTGGTTCTTATCTTACCACATCTTATTATTCTGCAAACGTTAGGGTATTCTTTATCATCACTAAGCTAACGAACAACTAACTATCAATTAGGATATTATACCTACCATTCAGATAGCAAATATACTGCTGATAGAAACATACAAACAATTATTGATAAAATCACAAACTTAAATTGTAAGAACTAAAAACCACTAAAATTCTTTCTTTAGAAATGGGTGTGAGATATAACAATTTCACGCCATAAAACTGTGTTCCGATTTAGTTCTTTAAAATATGTTTAGGAAAATGAGCGTCATGTTAACACGCAGACCCACTTATATTTTTAAGAAAAAAGAAGAAACAGGTAAGGGCTTATAAATAATATCACGACTTATTCTTTTAGTAAGTAAATAATATTTCTACCTTTGGTTGCACGCTACAGTAGCGCCCGACAAGTTGATCCAAGTTTAAAAATAGAGGTGATTGTGTGAGGGAACAGTCTACTTATAAAATATGGCTCCGCCCTTTAGAAACTATCTTTAGATGAACTGAAGTAAATATCTGTATGTGAGCCAAAACTGGAGGCACGTGACATGCACGTGCTAGCACTTCGTTACTTCAATCTTCCATTTTATTGTGAAGATTTATGCAAATCGAGGCACGTGACACATATTCCAGTTCTTTTAGTTATAGTCTCCAAACTAAATAAGATTTATGTCACTATGGCGACACAATACATATATAAAAAATCACGCATCTTGAAGAAATTTCCACCAGATTTCTGTTATATCATAATTACAACTAGCACGTGGCATATAACAAGTGAATGAACAGTATCACTGTTTTATTACATTTTACGGTGAAAAACAGTTATCGGAAAGTTATCAATGTTACAAAACGCATTTGGCAAGAATTGTACCTATGGAAGTCTCTGTGGTTGGACGCTGGCGGCTGTGAAACTGAAATAGGAGTTACTACAAAATTTTATATGTTTATCATGAGGAGGCTGTTTTGCTACTAGAAGTTTCATATCAACGTTTCTGACTGGCCCAAACTGGTTCTATCGAGTACAAATGGTAACATCTAAAAACTTACAAAATATCACATAATGATCATTTCAAAATATTCAGGCTCTTGGCAATCATCGATTCACAACTGATTTACAACAGCTCGAAGTCAAGAAAGAATTATTTAACAACAGACACTTAGGCTAAGCCCATCTCTTATGGTGTTGGAACTCTGATCAGATTAGTAAACACTTTTGTATACAGAGTTACCAATGAATGTAAAATTTACAATATGGAAAAATTAATCCACGGCTTGGATCAGTTACTGGAACATGTTTCCCAGCAGCTTCACAAAGCTAGTCTACAAATAATGTTTATAATTTTGAAATTTTATTTGTTTGTTTGAATTTCGCGCAAAGCGACACGAGGGCTATCTGCGCTAGCCGTCCCTAATTTAGCAGTGTAAGACTAGAGGGAAGGCAGCTAATTATCACCGCCAACTCTTGGGCTACTCTTTCACCAACGAATAGTGGGATTGACCGCCACATTATAACGCCCCACGGCTGAAAGGGAGAGCATGTTTGGTGGGACGGGGATTCGAACCCACGACCTGCAGATTGCGAGTCGAGCTCCCTAACCACCCGGCCATGCCGGGCCGATTTGAAATTTTCAACCCAGAAAAGCCAACAGACATGAAACGAGGCAACAACAACACAAACACGTAAAATGCATGGTACAGTTTAGGAAGCAATAGTCCAAAAAGTCCAAAGAATATGGTCCACCTGCAGATGGACATCCAAAACGAATGCAGTATAGCAATTAGGCTTAGCTTTAGGTTAGGTTTGCATGGTATTTTAGTTAGGGTATAATGTGTTCTAGTTAGCTTTATTTTTAATGTTGTAGTTTGATATTTAGCTAAAGAACGTAGAATGTCTAGAAAAGTTTAGGTTTATTTCAAATTCGAAGCTAGATAATAAACGCGAAATAGTTGTGAGAATCAAAGTTATTCGAAGAAATAGTTTTATTTCAATTGAATTGGTCAGTGTTTTTTTTGTTTTGTTTTTTGAAGTATTTGGAACTGTGTTTGCTATCGCGTTTATTGAGTTACTTTGTACAAGTAAATTGATTTGTTTTATGTGTTAACGTCATTTGCAACGTAAGCCTACAACATTTTACGGCATTTACTATGTAAATGTTCAAGTTTGTAGAAACTACTTTATGACTGGACATTAAATTTCTTTCTCCAGACAGTTTAAAAGAACCCAATAAAGTAAGAACAACGTTAAACAGTATAATGTAGTGTTACGATAGCGGAAGTCACGTGACGCTGCTGGCGCGTTACCACTGGTTTCTCGAATGATCGGGGAAGTCCGAATGTGTTCTAGATGCCTCTTCGGTAGTATATAAGCCTGGCAGAGAAAAGCCAGCAATCATGAATGAAGAGAGAGCAGTAGTTACTTTGAGTTCCGTGTAATTTATGATTCTGTTAG